TGTGTTTTTAATTGGGTTGAAGCTATTTGGAGTTCTGTATGCTTCGGTTACATGAGTATCAGATTGTTTCCTCATATTGGGGAAGCTTTCTGCTATTACTTCTGCCCATATTCTTATCATTTGTATTGACTCCTTCATTCTCATTGATGCCTATTAGTCTCACATTGTTCATCTTTACATTGTCTTGTAGGTGATGAATTATTTTTTCCTGCATCGTAGTTGTTTTTAAGAGATCCTTTCTTACCTTTTCACTAGCTGAACCAGCATCTTCAAGATCTGAAACTCTATCTTCACTTTCGCTCAAATGGTTTTTCAGGCTTGTAATTGAGATCTTAAGGTCCTCTACATCTCTGCTTCATGCGATCTATTTCTTTCCTGTATTGCTCATTCAAGGAATTCATCATTTTTTTAATGTCCTGTATTTTTTTTATCAATGTCTTCTTTTGAAGCAGTTATTAATTGTTTTACTGCAGAGTTTTTTTACAGATTGGGTTTCCTCTTTATGTTTCTGTATTTGATTCTTTAGTTCAGGTGCTATGAATTTAGAGATTTCTTTTTTCATTTCAGACACTAATTCTGCTTTGAGTTCCTTTAAACCTTTCTGCAGTTGGTTATTTACTTCCAATGCTATTAATTTATATATTTCAGCTAAGCTAATGTCCACTGCATTTGTTCTGGTTGGGCATTGTGTTTCCTCCATATGTTTCTGCATTTGAATCTTAGGTTCAGCTGCTATAAATTCTGAGTTTTCTTTTTTTTATTCCAGAAATTAATTCTGCTCTGAGTTCCTCTATATCTTTCTGCTATTGTTTATTTACTTCCGACGCTATTGATTCATTTATTTCAGCTGAGCTAGTATCCTCTGCACTTGGTATGGGTGGGCTTGAGGCCTGATATTGCATTTTGCTCCTTGTCTTTATCATTTTGTTTAACACTGACCTCTGGCCTTTGGTGTAGAGCTTTGGTGCAATTATGTCCTTATCACTTAATGAAATTTGGTTACTAATATAACAAGTTTTAGTTCATGCAGTTGTGCCTGGCTTGGGTTTGGCTACTGTGCTCAGCTCCTTACTGTTGTTGCCCTTGTAAATGGGCCTGCTGTACACCTCTGGTAAGATGATGTATTCCTGGATTAGCTGTGTGGTTTTGACCTTAGTCTCACTGCAGGGACTTTAGCTGTAGGGTTTTACCTCAAGCCTGTATAGCTATGTCTGGGCTGGGTCTGGAGGGGTATGAGGAGCGGGGGCGAGAGAGCACAGAAGCTCTCCCACACACTCACCAGGGTTGTATTTTGGTGGGTCTGCAGGACTCCCAAGAGCGCGGCAGAAGTTCTTACTCAGATGGCGGGCTGTGCTGGGTCTGGCTGGGCGGGGGAGGTCCGGAGAACACAGGGAAAGACCTCTGTCATGTGGCAGGCCTGGGCTTGGAGTGGTGGGCGGGCACAGGACAGAGCAGAAGCTCTCCCCCACTCTCGTAGGGCCTGGGGTTGGTCGGATATGGAGGACCCAAGGCACAGTGGAAGTTCTCACTCAGAGGGCAGGCTGCGCGGGGTCTGGCCGGCTGGGGAAGGTCTGGAGAATGCAGGGAAAGGCCTCTCTCACACGGCGGGCCTGGGCTTGGAGCAGCGGGTGGGCTCAGGATAGAGCAGAAGCTCTCCCCCACACTCACATGGCATGGGGTTGGTCGGATATTTGCTTTACTTTTTATACTTCGTTTTTGTACTTTTCTGCTGGATGGTTAAGACCGAGATAAAGCCAGACCTATATAACAAGAAATGTAACTTTTGTATCTGATAAGGTCAGTCAAATCCCTTCAGGATTTAACCTGTACCGCACTTTGTAGATCCTTTGTCAGTGTCAGCCATGTGGATGAGTCACAGCCATTGCTTGACCAATTTGCTCTCTGTGAAAGCCTGAGAGAATGTTTTCTCTCCATGTGACTTTCCTTAGGCACACTCTACATCATCGATCACATTCCTCTGTGGCCCCATAATCTCCTTGATCAGAAAATTTGGGACACAACTGAGTTACATAATGTTACAGTATAAGTTCTCCTATGTCCTGAGTCCTCATTGACCTTGAAAGGCAAGGGCCAAAATGTTGGCTGTCTTTGCAGCCCTTCTTTTTCTCTGATTTTTGGTCTGTAAACTTAGGTTATTAATCCTTCAAAACAGAAGCTTATTTTTACCCTACAACATATGCAGTTGGATTTAACCTATCTGTCTGAATATCAAACATCTTAGGCATAACATGGAACAGGTATTTTCTATCAAGTATTGATATGTTAAACATTAAGTCCCTGTAGAATATGAAGACAAAAATTTAAAAAAATTGAAAAAATATGAATAAATGGTTACATAATTTTACACAGAAATTAAGAAATCTAACAATGCCCTGAGTTTTAGTTTTTTGAGGAATTGTGACACTGATTTCCACAAGGGCTGCACCAGTTTACACTCCCACCAGCAGTAGAGAAGAGTTCCTTTTTTTGCCACAGCCTACCAGCACTTGTTATTGATTGACTTCTTGATAATAGCCATTCTTTTTGAAATCTTAGCACCATATAGAGTCCAGGTCTACGGCCAGGTAGTACGTGATCCCAGTGAGCCTGGAGCCAGATCTACACAGCTCATGGCAGTGTGTGGGCCTCAGTGTCTTGAACTCAGCCAGCAGCCACTAGAGAGAGCCACCCTGAGTCCCAGTCACAGTTGACCTCTCTCCAAGATGGCTGCCAGCCAATCTCTTGCTCTTGTGTGAAATCCCAAAGGGAACACCTCACCAGCCATGGCCACCCACTACTGCACTCCACCGGAGGGCTTTTCCATGGAGGCGGCTGGGGCTGCCAGCAGTCTCCTGTGGGTTTGATGCACATCTCTCCCCTAGTAAGTTCAGGCTCAGGGAAAAAGCACTGCCACCTACCTCCTTCCCCCTTCTTTGCTGAAGTTTCTCTCTTCACTGCCCCCATGGCCTTCCATTCTCACTTCAGATTTATCCTGGGTCCCAGAGAATCACTTGCTTCCTTCTTCTCTTCCTCTCACTGCTGTACTCCAGTGTCCAGACAACAGATCTTGGAGAGGCTCTTCCTTTGTTGCTCACCACTCCACCATTTTCCCAGAAGTCCCACATCTATTGTTTAAAGATTAAGATAGGGAAGGAATTATCCCTGCTTCATAGCTAAGGACATTGAGGACCAAGAGGATTATATGGCTTGTCCAAAGTCACGAATTTGACAGTGTAAGTTGGACTGGCATCTCCATCCCATTTTACCCAAGCCACCATCCTCCTCACCAATGCCACACTTTGACCTTGTCCCGGGCCAGCAGGTCAGTCAACGAAGGTCACCTGGGAGAGGAGCGGGGAATTGAGAGGGGACAAAGGACAGGAGACGTGAGAAATGGAGACAAGACAGGATTCTGATCAAGTCTTATTTATTGAGGGGAGGTGCTGGGTATATATAGCGGAGGCGCAGGGAAATGACGTCGGCGGGTAAAAGGTGCGAGTAACTAGGCAACCAGGCTGTGACAGGAAGTCCCACCTTCGGGGCATAGCAGGAGACTTATGGGAAATAGGTGGGGTAAAAAGAACTAGGAACTTAGCTCAGTAGAGGTAGGGGAAGAGGAAGTATGACGCTGATGCAACAAGAGAATTTTATAGGTCAGAGGCACTCAGGTGACCATTAAGGGATACGTGGCGCAGAGTCATGATGTGGCAGTTTAATTTCATGCATATTTGTTGCATAGTTGTTAGCCTCTTTATATAGAAAGATACTTAAGGCATATGTTCAAATTTATACTCATTCATTTCTTTATCCAACAAATGCTTATGTTTGTTCTGGATGCAGGTCTTAGACTACAGTCTTGGAATAGAATAATGAGCAAGGCGAAAAGAGTCCCTGTTCTTTTAGAGGTTACAGGCCAAGTATGAAAGCAGGAATTAAACAAAATAATTAATGCATTAAAATTGTGTGTGTTATAAGTAAATAGGGTGCCAAAAAAGAGTAAATATTAGGAGCTGCAAATTAGACTGAGCGGTTAAGCAATCTGCATGGACCTAAAGCAGTAATTAGCTGAGAAAAAGAGTGCAAAGTCCTGAGATGTGAGGACCATGTGCTAGAGTGAAAACGGGTTGACAGCAAAGGTACCCCAGAACAGCATGTGTGAGCCAGGACTCCTAGAAGGAGCACTGGGAAGCTGCTGAAGTTCCCCACAGAGCAGCGACATTTTACAAAGATTCCTTTGGCTGAAGTGTAGGGGAAGGAGCTGTAGAGGAGCTCAGAGGCTAACTCGCCACGAAGGAAAAATCTTGTAGCACATAACAGGTTGTTGCTGTGCATGTTGAGTTGAAACTTGGTTCTACAATTTCCCATGCAGCTTAAAGTTTGAAATGCAGCTGCAGCTTAGTGTGGGGCCAGAGAAACCTTCTGGGTGACTGTAAGCTGAGGGCAGAGGAAAGCTTTTGAAATCCCTAAGGCATTTGACATAAAAAGACAGGATGCTGTGAATGTTTATGCACCAGATACCAGGAACAGAATTTCTTGTGAATGTGTACATTTAACAATGGACAGAGGGGCTGGGGTGAGGAGCACTTCATATTGCATTTTATTTTTAGTGTGTCTGGAAATGAAGGAGAATGTAGAGTCCCAAGCCATAATGGGATTCTCCTGTTCCTACCTAAATTACCTCTCACATGGGCCATTCCTTACAGGATGGTACATATGGGGAAAGTTTCAGAACGCAGCCTGCTTGGCCACATTCCATGGCTATTGTTTTCTATGTCGGGGAGATTGAAAATACCTGTCATTGTGACTCTGAGCTATGGATTACCCACTGGAACATTTGTCATTTCATTTGTTTTCTTGACGTGTAAGTTATTTTTTTTTTTTCCCGGAACCAGGGGTTGAACTCAGGCCCTGTGCTTGCCAGGGAAGCACTTATTCCACTGAGCCATCTCCCCGGCCCCTCATTTGTTTTCTTGAAAGTGTGTATCTTTTCTTTTGCTTAGGTATTTCCTGTAAATGATGAGCCACCAGTCCTAAAGGCTGGCCTAATCCCCATGATGCATTGCTCCGAGGGCGGAGAGGTGGTCATTACTCATGAATACATTTTTGCTACTGACATGGACAGTGACAACCAGAAACTGATGTTTCTGATTACCAGAGAACCCCAGCATGGTATGGTGAGGAAGGCAGGGGTCAGAGTGGATTGGTTCTCCCAGGGAGATGTGATCTCAGGAGCTGTGACATACATGCACACAGGTAAGTGACATCACCGTGAGCAGTAAGGGGAGGCAGGCCACACGAGTCCTACTTTCACTCCTTGGTATGGGTTTCCATATCCTGACAATGGCAGTCCATGCTTGTTTCCATCGAAAATGATACAGCTCCAGCCAGTATCACTTTTTCAGGGATGATCATTGTATACAGGAGCATTTCTGACCTCAGTACCACAGTGCATTTCAGAGGGTGGAGAAAGCACAGTTGTCAGCCGCTGCTCTGTTCTTGATGCTTCTCGTTGGGTCAGTTTGATTAAAATGGGACCTTTTACTCACTGTGTCAGACACTGCTTCTTTAAGGGATGCCTCTCCATCCTCTCATTTGCATGTAGTTTTAGGAATGGTTTCATTAGTTATCAGGACTTCACTAAATGAAATTGCCACTTGACAAAATTTTTAAAGATTCAGCAGTAGAATTGCACATGGTTCAACCCAGTGCACATGTACATCTGTGACATTCTGATCCAATCACGTGGCCTCTCCACCCCTAGATTGACACAGAGTGAGTCTTTTGACATTTAAACTCTCTTGGGATGCTTTTATAAAATACCTGACTTTTTCTCTGCTCAAGCACCCAAGTCACTAAATGTTTCATTGTAGGTATAAAATAAATGTTTATTGAATGAATAAGCGATGAGTAAATGTGTTATGCCATTTTTTCACCAGCATGAACAGGAAGAGCCCTCATATTTTTGACTTCTAAAGTTGAAGGTGGCTTGTTTCTTTCTAACTCAGACCTTCAACTTTGTTTTTCCAATTTGTCCTTCTTTCATCTCTTTGTCTCTGAATTCAGTTACTTGTGGGTTTTCCTTGTCATTTATTTTAAAAAGAGAAAATGGTGTCAAGCGTGATCTCTGCAGCCCTGACCAGCATACCTGGTGAGGAAGGAGGGCCCTGGTCTCGGGCCTTGTTCCCAGCAGCTCAAGCACTAACTGTTTGGCTCTTGGAAGGCTGAAGGCGATGTGTGAGAATTACCCAGAGCACAAGCACAGGCTTTCCTGCCCCTGGCGAGCAAGCTGTCCTACGCCACGCTCTGAGCAGTCGGGAGATGGTCCTGTACTCATCAGCTGTATAATCCTGACATTTTCTTCCTCCTTCCTCTTTCTGTTCAATTTAGGGTCATTTTGAATCTTACACAGTAGAAGAAAAAAAACTAAAGTGAAGAAAAGGAAAATATATGCCGCTTCTAATCCAGGCATAGTTGCTACTTAAAAAAAAGAGAGAAAATCTTGGCTAGTATATGCAAAGGAGATTCTGAAATAAATGACCACAGTGGAGATGGATTATCATTGCTTTTCACCTACCAGGGTCCTCTGCTCTGCGTAATTGCTATGCAGTTGCTGGTTATTTATTTTAGGCCGTTAATGCGCATGGAAAGACAATTAGGAAGGGACAAGGGTGTGACCACTTCTCCCTGAGATCAGTCCTAATGCTGAAGGATTGGGGGAGGAACGAAACCATCACCAGTCAAGCTTCATGGCTCTCCCTTGTTCATCTGTGAACTGTCACAGCCTTGTTAGCCCGAGGTCGCCCCTCCATATGGTGGCCGATAGCTGGCAGAGCTTTTGCAGGAGGCAACAGATGGACAGGCATTTTTGCATTATTTTCATGACTGTATTTAATTTCACAGTGAGAAAGTTGGGTTTCCCATTTATCTACAGAAGCTCCATCCCTTGCCATTCTGTGCTTGCAGAAAAGGTGTGAGTAGATCTCATCTTGGTTTTCTATATTTTAAAAAAGTCAGCGTTCAGCCATCACTGTATCTTCCAGGTGGGGAGGTTGGCCTGGTGCCTCGTCTGGACACCGTCTCACTGGTGGTTTCGGATCAAGAAATGGGCCCTTTTGTAAATGGCTGTTGCCACAACGGACCTGATCCATCTGCTCCTCCACATGGGTCCTTTCCAGTGTACGATCTCAACATCACAGTGCATCCAGTAGACAATCAGCCACCTTCAATTGTAATAGGTAACAATTTTTTGTGACAGTACTATTATCTTACTTACTGTTGTTCCTGTGGGTCAGCAAAATGATACACTGCACAGGCAAGTACCATAAACAGTTGCCTTCTAATAATTGCCTCAATAGAAACTTGTAGAAAACCCCAAATTTATAAAAACTTATAAGATAAAGGCAAAAAGAGTTCTAGAGAGGAGAGGAAGAGGGGGTACACGTGTGCTTTGGGACAAGGACAACCCTGGAATTCTCAGATATTCTGGTTTTATTTCACATGGGGAAATATAATTTGCTGCCTGCTGGAGAATGATTTATTTTATCCATAATAATTTCTATTAGAATGAGTATAACAGAGAGACCATTTATATACATTTAACCTTATTTGCTTTTCAGAAAGTCATCTCTTCATAAGCATTATGTAGATGTTCTACCTCTCGGAAAAAAATCAGCATATGTATGAATGTTATTGTAATTTGCAAACTATCTCCCAAGCAATGTTCTGGAAAGGAAGCATTATCCCAGCAGAATAATTAAGCGCCAGGCATGAAAAAATGTTCGTTATGAGCAATTCATAATAGCTCTCAGGCAATTAACACTCTGACAAACAGAGGTAACAACTGTTCTTGAAGAGTACATAAACTACATTTAGTGGCTTATCATTAAAAACAGTTTGGCAATTCTTATTTTCATTTGCCACTTCTGTGGAGACACAAGGGAAATCAGAGATCTTTGAGAATGAGTAAAGGGCTGTGCTGGAGCATTCAGTATTTTTTCTGACTTACCATTATTATCTGGCTTGCTTGTACAAGAAAAATAGCAGCTCCATAAGTCAAATTAAATTCCACCCATTACCCCTGAATGTCTTTACTGTAAAGAGAATTACGCCAAAGGACATGAATGTTGTCGCCATGGAAATGTGTGTGCATGGGGGAGGCTTTCTGAATTAGGATTTCGATCATTCCCCTTGTCCTCACCTTTCTGGTCAGAAGATCCGTGCTAAGTTGTAATTATATTGTTATTTGTACACAGGTTCCATGTTTGTTGTAGATGAGGGGTCCTCAGCAGCCCTTACCATTAACCATTTGTCTGCCACTGACCCCGACACGGCTGCAGATGACTTGGAGTTTGTTTTGATTTCTCTTCCCCAGTTTGGCTATCTTGAAAACACACTCCCTTCTGTGGGGTTTGAGAAGAGCAACGTGGGCATAAGTGTTGGTAAGTCGTGCTTTCGTGGCCAATAATGACTCGCCTTTTATGGATGTGGCTGGTCAGATCACAGTTAGTAAGAAGATTAAAGATGTTCATGGCACAATATATATTCAAAAAATTATTATTAAAACTAATACTTTTGCATCTATTTTTTCATTTTAATTTTTATTCTGACATTTCCATGCATGCACGTTTATACCAAAGTAAATGCGAATTCACTTTTTAAAGATGTATTTGTTTGGCACAGGATCTCACTATGCAACTTGGACTCATAGTGATCCTCCTGTCTCAGCCTCCCCAGTGCTGGGATTACAGGTGTGCAATACCACGCCCCGTTCTGGGGCCAGTCCTGCACACCCTTGGTTTTGGGGCTGGCACAGCATGTGGTGCTGGAGATCAATCCTGGATCCTTGCACTTGCCAGGCAGGTGCTTAGACTACTGAGCTATCTCCCCAGCCCACAGATTCACTTTTGAAAAATATGAGAATAATATGCTTCTGAAGGCTCTCACAGCAGCACAGAATACTTGGGCAGAATTAATTGGGTGAAAATCCGGAAAGTCTCAGTCTCACATCTTTTTAGCATTTTAAATAGATATTGGTACAAAAGACTGGGAGATGCATTATGATTTTTACAACAGAGAGAGCTCAGGATATTGGAGCAGATGATACTAATTTTGAAACCAAAATGTGTCTCATATTTAAATAACTCTTACATTTCAGGGAAAGACAAAACAACCAAAGAAAAATAGAAAGCAAAAGCAAAATTTTCCAAAGGCAACATTTTAGAAGTAAAGATTCTCCAGTCCCTCCTGAGGCATATTTTTTATTAATAGGAGAGATAATTGAATTTGTGGAGAATTGCTTTAAAGGTTACCCAATTTTTCCTTTGATTTCATCAACAACTTAGGCTATTTTTTCCTCTTGATTTTCGGCCACACCGCAATACCTAAATTTCAGGCCAGCCAGTCGCAGTCAGTTCATGCGACCTGTTGCTTGATATGCGTGCCAAGCAGGCAAGTTGACTGACGGCTGGCTTGGCCTTTATGGAAGGAGGTGGTCACTTTCTTACTCAAGTACGGTGAGCACTGCTCAGGCAGAAGCAGCAGCTTAATCTCGGGCTGCATCTTTAGGGTTCATCCCAGCACTCTGGACAATGCTCAGAATGCCCTGTGCTCTGGGTTAGCAGCCACCACTCCTTCATCTTCCACAAATATTGGAACCCTTCTCGATGATCTGTGGGTGTCTGCTGCTACAGTGATGGTGGAGGGTATGGCAGCGACTCTGATCTCCTCTTTGCTGTCCCTGTTTCTTGTCGGTGTGCTCCAGCTTCCTTTCATTGGAAAGACATGAAAACCTTGCACATCAACTATGTGCAGTCCAGGCATCGGAGGGTAGAGCCCACTGCCGACCAGTTCGTGGTGCTTGTCACAGATGGAAAACGCCGCTCCCCACAGGCACCATTTCACATCAAGATCAACCCCACCAACGATGAAGCTCCTGTCTTTGTGGTTCAGAATATTACTGTAAGGAACACATCAGGATGTTCCATCTCTCTTCCTAGTTTCTGATCTTATTTTCATCTAGTCCATTTACATTGTTGCAGATGCATTTCACACTTTAAATTGGTGAGGGGTGAGATTGGCATATTCTGTAATGCAGTGTAATTGCTTGGAAACTTAATTTCGTAATAGCAATAGTTGTAATAGTAGTTGCAAGCTTATAGCAGCTGCATGCATGCTGTTACTACGTGTAGTGTCTTGTAGAGGGGTACGGACCAGGTCGTAGGTGCCGAGCCTTTGCATGTACTCACATTTACTTCTCACCATGGGCTTTTAAGGAGATGAATGGTATTATTTTTATCCACTTCATAACTGAAGAACTTAGGTATAAAGGAGCCAAGTAATTTGTACATCATAGTAACGTGTGTATGTATACTGTGTCTCCTCCATGTTCTATTTATAAATACAGGACCATATAATAAGCGCTACTAAGCCCTTTACTGTTTAAAGCAATAAGATACATTAAAAATTGTGAAAGTTCAGGAGATTAAATTAACAGATTGGTATCTGAATGTGCAGATCCTAGATCCAATTTGACATTCTGCAATCTCAGAGCTGGGGAGATAGCTCGGTAGAATAAGCACTTGCCTGGTAAGCACAGGGTCCTGAGTTCAATCCCTGTACTGAAAAAAAATAAAGTAAAATAAAGATATTTTGAAATCTGTAGAAAAATGTGAGGGCAATTGATAGATTTGATATTTATTTTTATGTTCCCACTAAGTTAGCAATTTCCTCTTGCGACTCACTGCACACGTAAATACCTTACAAAAATGGAAATGGGTTTATCTTCAAATGAAATGTGTTAGCAGTTGGTCGGAAGGGAGAGTGGACACGTCCAAGTTCGGTTCTGACCTTCCCCACTCTGCCCATCCAGGTGTGTGAGGGTCAGCAGACGGAGCTGGACTCGGCCGTCATCAGCGCTGCCGACCTGGACATCCCCAAGGACGTCCTGCTGGTCAGCGTTGCCCAGCAGCCCCGCCACGGCCTCCTGCTCAGCAGGATGTTCGGCAAAGACACACCGCACACTCAGTCACTGGCGAGCCCTGGCCCAAAACGCGAGCTAGTTCACACCTTCTCCGTGGAGCTCCTGGAGTCTGGTATCTCGCGTCCCGCTTTTCTCCACCTGTGGTTGGTGTAGGAGCCTACCGTCCCTTGTGTGTGAGCCCAAAAAAGTCGCCTCCGAGAGCGGAGGGTGGGGTGGGGCACCAGGGCTGGCGGGCGGAGGGCGGGAGATTAGCCTCGGCTCGAAGCTGGGAATAATAGATAATTTAAATAGCAACAACGTGTTTTCTTTCACTTTTACAGTGCCAGTAAAGCATGATTTTTGTCTACATAGCAAGATCTTGTGTCAAAAAATAACTAAATAAAATAAAATAAATAAAAAATAGGTTTTTGTGATTTTGGTAGTTCACTGGAAATTTTTACTGCCATAATAAAAAATTCCCTTTTAAGACTATTGGGATCATGGAACTAAATTTTAAGAGATATGCCTGCCAAAATTTCCTCAGTTGAAACGAATATAGAACTATGTATAATAAAGACTCATTAGCCTCTGCGAAGATAGTTTGCTCTTGAGGGCGATGGCACATTGAGCTAGCAGCCTAAATTATTTCTTAATCACCCTTTTTAAAAAACCGATTTTCTCTCATTTTCCACATATAAAACACTTTCAAATCTTTGGTCAAAGCGTGTGGTTCTAGAGTGACAGCCTCCTCATCGTCTCCTCCCTTCTCCACGTGTCCTATCTGCCCGGCCTGGAAGGTCCCTGTCCTTGTCCCTTGAGCACGCAGCTTCTTGCGGAGCCCACCCAGGCCTGCTCTTCCCTACCCCCGCCTCACCGTCGTGTTTCTCAGCGTTTCTCTTGCTGTCCCTCACTTCTCGCTGCCATCAGTTAGGCCATCCGCCCCCACGTTTATTTTGTAATAGCTGCACAATAATTGCCTCATGTTTTAATTTGAAAAACTACTTCATATATTTTTAGGTTTCTATCAATTGTAAAGAAGTAAATTTTGGGGCTTAAGTGATGATGTGGCCAAGTAAGATACATTGTTACAAATATACTTTAATTTCAAATTTAAGACAAGGGAAAAGGAAATACTAATTCAAACTTGACTCTCAGGAAAAGTGTTATCAGGCTTGCTTATTCCCAGGTTAGATAAGTATTTCAGCCTGATCGTGTAGAGTGTGGACTGCATCATTGTCACTTGGAAGGAAAATTAACATTTTCCATACATTAATATTTAGGTTAATATTTTAGTGACATTTCCAGAGATTAGGTTTTTCACTTCTACTTTATCTTTGGTTCATTTGTGCATAGGTTAAAAAATGAAGATATTCTCTCCAACATTCTCCTTTACATAAATAGAGTAATGCTGCTACCATCTCAGCTAATCTTTTTTCTTATATTTTGAATATTAATTATAAACATAGTTTTTAATAACGATAGCTTCTAGTCTTGTTTTACAGTGTTTCTATGGATGTCCTGTACTGCAATTTTATTTTTGAATGGATTCTTTTAAAAGTTTTATTCATAGCTATCTAGTACATAATCATTAGAGTCAGCATGAGGCCTGGCATCGGTACTAATGCATCTTAATTCTTTTTCACCTTTCCCTTGTCCCCTTGCCCCTCCCCCCCCTTGATCTCTTTTGCAAACATTCTATGTCCTTTTCCTGTTATTCCTTTCCCCTTATCTATCTTTCATTTTGCTATTTCTGGATAGTTTCTCATTTCTTGGTGTTGATCTTTACACATCAATAAGCATTTTGCGTAAATCTTGGTGCAAATCTCTTAGTATTTCTGAGACTGTCGTATGTTTTGCAAACAGAAAATATAATTCCTTCAATGATGTTCTTTTTCAAGATCCTTTTGTCTCTTCAGGATTTCTTGTATTTTTGTAGGACTATTACGTAGCTTTAAAAATAGTTAAATATAGTTTTTAGATTTAAATTTCGATCCACTTAGAATTTGTAGTTAGTAACTGGCTCAAGATAGGACACTAATGTTCCTCATCATTCATTTTCTTTCATTTAAACACTCTAATACCTAATAATTTTTTTTCTGTACTAATGCTCAATTAAGACCTTATCAAACTTTAGTCACTCTCTTACTTCACAAACCAATTTCAGAAATTAGAACAGATTCTTTGTGATGTGTTGAGATGATTCCACCGTGAGAAAGCTCTATCTTCTCTCTCATTTCTCCTGCTTCCAGGAATGAGGCTGGTGTATATGCACGATGACTCCGAGAACCTCGCCGACGCCTTTGCGGTCCAGCTCTCAGATGGGAAGCACACGGTACTCAAGACCATCTCAGTGGAGGTGACACCAGTTAACGACGAGAAGCCCACACTGAGCAAGTGAGCTTCCGGGAAAGAGTCCCTTCAGATTTCTGTAAATCCCATGAAGCGTGGAGTCCTATAGCTGAGACATGCGTGTGCTTGAAGAATCAGCCCCCTTCCACAGTTCATTTCTGTCACAGTGTCCCCTGCCCACTGAAGCGCTGGGAGCCCTGGTGCAAATGTAGGTTAGCAAGTTTAACAGAAAAGGACAGGAGAAGGAGGTACGGGAAAGAGATATATTTATGTATCTGTGCAGGATGACTTGGATAATTGTACCACTGATTTCTGCTGGTCTACAGAATTTTTTTTCTTGTCCTTTTTAATTCCTTATAACTAGCTTTTAAACCAATTTTCTGGTAATCTGAACAACTAATTTGAAGACAACATTAGGCAATGCAGCAACTTCAGTGATTAAGTTCTGTATTTCTAATTTTTCTTCTTTTGCGTTCTCTTTAGCAGTCTACTTTAGTAAAAAACAAACAAGCAAACAGAGAAAAAAGTCTAGGTTATGGATGATACTGGGGATTGAACTCAGGAGCACAGACCTACATCCCACCTTTTTAATTAATTAATTAATATTTATTTTGAAGTGAAGTCTTGCTAAATTATTCAAGCCTGTCTTGAATTTACCATTCTCTTTTCTCTCAGTTATGGGTTACAGGAACACACCTACTGATTAGTCCTTTAATTATTTGATTTTTCTCTAAAAATACTAGGTATAAAAGGTAAGAATGACTGAACATGCAGTGTAGAATGCGCGTTCTGCTAACCACTTAAACCACGTGCACACATGTTAGAGTGCAGTCAGTGTAGATCCAGCTAGAGCCCATCCTCACCCTTTTCCAGTAAGGGGCGCAGGGCAGCACCAGCCCCCTCCTCCTATCTCATCTCCCGCTCCTTGGTCCACCACATTTCTCTTCCATCCCGTAGCAGCATCGACACCCTCTGCCACCTCATGCCCAAGTCACTGCCTTAAAGAATTCTGCTGCTCATAATCACAAACTTTCTCTTGATTCCCATCGCTACTGCTCAGAGTTTGATCCTGAGGTTCGGAATTATCAATTGTATTTGTACAGTTCCAGCCATTTCTTTTCTACCTGGCGACTGTCCAGAACTGTACAAGGACGCAAAAAGTACAGAAATGTTAGGAAGGCCCGCTGCTCTTCAGGGCTAGATGGGGGCAAGCACCTGGCTCCTAGACAGCGTCACCTCTTTATTCAACAGTGTCCCAGGGAGCCGTGGTGGGAGAACAGTCTGAATATTTATCATGGACAGAACAAGTTCATGAAAATACGTAGATGCCCAAGTCTCCTGCATGCTGCAGAAAGGGGGGCTTCAAAGAAGTTTCTTTCTTATCATGTCCAGTCGCTAACTGTTCCCTTATGGGCCACCAGGTAGGTCCTTAAAAACTATGGGCTGCTTGGCATCAGGAGGCCCTAGGTTCAAACCCCTGGATGACAAAACAAAAACAAAAACAAAAATGCATTATGGAAAAGATGGATGAGAAGGTTTTGGAGGGTGTCTTTCAGACATCAAGTTGACCAGTGTATTTCCCAGACATTTCTAAGTCTTAATTTCCTAGCTGGAATATCAGACTGCTGTGACCTTGATTTGTATGGATGAAAATATGAAGGGCATTGCAATGTTGCAAATCCTTTTCCTAATTATTTAATTTATAAGAGGGCAAGGAGTAAAAGCTGGCATTTATTAAGTGCTTGCTATATGACAGCCATTATATTATATTTTTTTCACATATTATTTTATTAAATTCTCATCCAGATTGGGGGAGGGACTAAGAATTATTTTCCTCAGTCAGTAAAACTAGCACTAAAGAGTTAAAACTGTCACTGTCTCCAAAGGTCATGTCCTTGCTGTTAGACTCCTTGAACTACAAAATCACCAAGTATGTCTCAAAAATTCCTTCTTTTTTTGCCTTTTTTTCCCCAGTGTATTTTAGCACAGGATCTACAGAGTCTCACCATGTAGATCAGACTTGTGATCCTCCTGTTTTCAGCCTTCAAAGTGCTGGGATTACAGGCACTTGCCACCATGCCCAGTCTCAATCACCGTCTCAGCACTCCCCGGAGTGGGGGGCTGGCATGGCACACTGGGGATTGAACCTAGTCCCTGTGCCTGCCTAAGCAGGCTCTTTAGTCCACTGAGCTATCTGGCTGGCCCCCCAAAATCCCTTCTTTTATGACCTGAAAATAGGTGCTGGGCTATTTTGAAGGGAGGAGGGGAAGGATGGGTACAATTTGTCCCTTTTCTCACAGGGAGCAGGAAAGTTGGATATAATCAAAGCATGTTATAGGCATGCATGGAAATGTCACAGTGAAGTCCATCATTAGTACAATTAATTGGATTAAATAGTTATACTAATTTTAAAAGATGCTATAGCCATGTCTTCTCACATCATGCCAAGTCACCAGGTCAGTTTGGTGCTGCTGTGACAACGTGACATAAAGGTCCTCCAGGGAGCCCCTTAAGTTCATTCCAGATTCTCTTTTGCAATCAACGACTCTTGTGTTTTGAATGGTTATAAATATTTGTCTTAATTTTAGAAAATGCTAATAGCTCTTTACTTGACAGGCATTCTTACATACAGTCAAGTGCATTTCTGTGCATAATTTTTAACTATCTAATTGGTTAAGGAAGAAAAAAGGCTGAAGTGTTAAGCCAGCTATAATAAAATAATAGGCAAGATGGAAAAAAAACTTAAGGAAAGAAGCAGTCTAGGAAATGCAGTATTGCTCATCAGTGACTTTCTGATGCTGTTATCTATTCAAAGGTACCTTTTTATCTGAGCTGCATTGTTTTCATCAGTAAGTTTGCATGGAATTTGCTGTGTTTACCAACACATGCTAGTCATTCTGGAATATGGGGCTAAAATCTAAATCATGAAGCTCATAAATTCCCGTGATCTGCCATCATACCAGAAAGCTACACGTTATCATTGTTATTTTGCATTATGGTTCAAATTAAGAAATGAAATCATAAAAAGTACAAGTTTAGTTTAATTTTTCAAAGCTCCTTTTTTATTATTATTTTTTGCATTTAGTACAGGGTCTACAGGGTCTCACTATTAGGTTGGACTCATAGTGATCCTCCTGTTTTCAGCCTCCCAAAGAGCTGGGATTACAGGCATGCACCATCACACCCAGTCTCAGTTGCTGTCTCAGCGTACCCTGGGGCGGGGCCAGCTTGACATGCCAGGGATCGAACCCCAGCCCCAGCACTCTGCCTAAGCAGGTGCTTTAGTCCGCTGAGGTATCTGGCTGGCCTTCTCCTTTTTTTTTTCTTTTCTTTCTTTCTTTTTTTGGTGGACCCAGGGATTGATCTCAGGCCCTTGCACTTGCCAGGGAAGCGCTTACTCCACTGAGCCATTTCCCCGGCTCTCTCCTTTTTCTTTTTAAAAATATATCTTACTTTTAATCGACAGAAGTGGCCCTATTTATGGAACAGTGTGTCGTTTCAGTACCCGCCTGCAATGCTGTAGGGACAGGGCAGGGTGCCTGGCCTTCCTATCAACTCAGGTATCATCATGTTTTCCCAAAATCTCTCCCTTTCTTTTGCCTTCCTGTTTGCTGCTTGTCCTTTCTCTCCCTTCTGTGCCCTTGGGTAGGTCATACCTTGTCTCCTGTGCTTCTGTTATTTGTTTGCTCTTGACCTTTAATTTCTCCTCTTTTTCCTCCTGTTGATAGACACAGGGATGCAGTCTGTGCTTCAGCGAGCGGATGCTGGAGTCAGGCTCAGCTCGCCCTTGCACCAGTGAACTGATCTTGACCATGAGAGTAGAGCAGCTCCCTCCACACCTGTTTCTTTACTTTTCTTTCTTTCTTCCTTTTTCTTTTTCTTTCTTTCTTTTTTTTTTTGCAATGCCAGGGATCAAACTCAGGACCCTATGCTTGCCAGGCAGGTACTTATGTCACTGACCTATCTTCCCAGCCAAGATACTGTTTCTTTAAAAAAAAAGCTTAAACATGTCCTCACCAAGATTGAACCCCAAATTTACAGTAGTAAAAACACCCTTTGCTGTCCCCTCTCCTGGGAATGTCTTCTAAATAAATGGCCTGCATCACTGTGTGCTCCAGGGCCCTCTCAGGGTAACCCCCAGATTATGGCACTCTTCTGTGATGTTAATTCTGATGCTTTATCCCACCAAACCATTTATCTTCTTTAGCACATCAGCTTCCTGTTTTCATTAATCTATTTCTTTCTATAAATGGTGTCACAAATCTCAATAAGCTCCCAACCAACAGATTCATTCATCTTCTAGAATAATGGGATTATTATTCTCCAGTAAAGTTGTAGATGAAAGTCTCCTGTTGCCTGGCAAAATGTCTATCCTGGGTGGGCAAAACCTCTCCCTAAGGAAGAGAAGTTGTTAACTGAGATGCTCAGGCACTGGCTTCTCAGCAGAGGAACCGAAGGCAGTGGGATGCTATTGGTGCTACGCAGTGTCTTTGATCTGGGCCCAAGAAATCCAGGCATGTGATATGTCTCCAAAACAAAGCTGTCAAAGTGGCCAGAGTATACTATAGTTCAAAGCTAGAAACACTGGCAGGAAGAAATCCATTGCTTTCTCGGTTGGTTCCAGAGAGAGTGCAGAATCATTTGCGAATGCAGCAGCCCTGCTCACAGTCTATAAAAGAAGTGCCCAGGGTGGAGGCCTCAGCCACCCCTGCCTGTCTACCTGACCAGGGTTAGGCTGCCTTGGTGCTGGGTTGAAATGCCTGGCTACAAGCTGAAGCTTCTAGAACATTACTAGTGAGAGGATGAGTAACACAGAGGCCACAGATGACCCCACAGCTGCAAACCCAGAATACTGTGTCCTTGCAGGGTCTGGAGCACTGGGCACGGGGTAAGCCAGTTAGTGTCTCTCAGCAAGCTTCAATCTGTGAATTAGAATGGTAGTGCCTCGCCCACTAACTGCATGGCACTATTAGTGTCATCTGAAATATTGGAAACAAATTGTTGTACAAACTGTGCCTTAACTTACAAGATTGTGACGTTCTACCTGTATAAAAGCAATTAGAAATATTACCTGGTACTCTGTTCATTGTTTACTTTCATTGTCTTTTTGGACTTGACTGAGCTAAGTGAAAGATTTCACTTTGTGTGTCTGCTAGTCCCTTTCAGTATTATGGATACTGAATATCATTCCTTAACTATTGAAGGGTGGGAAATGTAGCAGACAATATAAGTACAGGGCCGGGGAGATGGCTCTATAGAATAAGCACTTGCCTGGCAAGTACAAGGTCCTGAGTTCAATCTCTGGTTCTGAAAAAAAAAAAAAAAAAAAAGTACCCTCTGCTAAAGTAATAACTCCTATTATTTATTTATCTATTTTTAAGAGAATAAGAGATAATAAAAGAAAACATTAGAAACAATACAGAATTTCACTAAACAAAATGATAAGAATTGAACAATGGTTGTATTGAACAATGTTGTCTTCAAATTAGCTGTTCAGATTACCAGATATAAGCATGCAAAATTGGCCAGAAAAATTTAAAAGAAGAGAAAAAATTTAAGCATCAAGTGCTCCTTTCAGTAGACTACCAGTACAACTATCCAAGCTCTCCTGTGTACATACATGCATATTTCTTTTTCTCTTTCTTCTTTCTTTATTTTCTCCTCTCCCTCATCCCAGTTGTTTCTTCCATTTGGACAGTTTCTTTCCCTTTCACACTATCTATTGTACCTTTCAGATTCTATTTACTCTTTGCAAAAATCCTCAATAAAATACTGACAACCAGAATGTGGTAAATCATCAAGAAGATTAAACATCATGGCAAAGTGGGATTCATTCCAGGAATGCAGGGATGGTTCAAGATTTGCAAACCCATAAATGGATACACACATCAACAGAGCCAAAAACAAAAATCACACAATCACCTCAATTGATGCAGAAAAAGCTTTTGATAAAGTTCAATACTCATTCTTGATTTTTTAAAAAAAAAATCCTACAGAAAATCAGAATAGATGGTCTTCACCTCAGTCTGATAATCCTTTTATATCAACCCGAGTGTTTTTTCTCTTTCCATTTCTTTTATAGGAAGGCTGAGATTGCGATGAGTATGGGTGATACTCGCATTCTTTCTAGCGCTGTTCTTTCTGCCATAGACAAAGACTCACCCAGGGAGAAGATTTACTATGTATTTGAAAAGCTTCCCCAAAATGGGCAACTTCAGCTTAAGGTTAGTGGCCTTTTTCCCTTTGTTTTTCAAAATGAATGTGGCAGACACACATTTTCTCAGCGTACACATTCTTATAATTGTGCTTATTCTCCAATAGCCATCTTTTTGCCCATAAGTAGAAATTTTACTTTCCCTGCACTACAGCACACTCATGTCCTTTTATATTTTCTTAGTCAATGAGGGGCAAATTCAGCCCACCTTAAGATTCTTCGTAGCTCCTTTCCAGGATCAACACTAAATTCGGGGGGCGGGGGGAGAAACCCAGTGGCTTTTAAGACAGCTTCCTTCCCACCGTGTTTTGTATGATCCCTGGGACTTCGCTCTTCAGCCCCCAGTCATAGAACTCTTCAGGCCCAAGACATCAGTTTTCCCCCTCACCTTCTCTTCCCCTCTCCTTTTCCTGCCCCTCATCCTCTCTCCCTCTTTCAAGTAAGGAACCATTGTCAAGAACAGGACAAGACTGACTACTCTTTCACCATGGTCAGGCCTAGGAAAATCTGAAGCTCCTTCTGCTGCAGTTTCCCAGCCAATAAAGTTTCTGTCTTGTGCCAGCGCAGCGCGGACCGAGGACAGCGAGGCCCTCCCCGCTCAGACTCCAGGCCCCCTCTGAGTGTTAGCACTGCCTGCCTCCCCAGGGGTCTGCAGCCAGCAGCACTGTCTCCGTCCTTTTCCAGCCCTCATCTTGCTCCCTGAGCAGGGAGAAGCCTGCTCTCTTTTCCAGGGAGACCACTCGTCCTGCAAACAATAAATGTACCACCTTGTTTGGTATTCTATTTGAGATTTATTTAAAAGCTGAGCAACCAGTTTTTTTACTCTGTGACCCCACATCCTTTGCTGCTCTGGAATCCTCAGGTTAAGGCTGGTGAGGACAAAGCTTAGAACCAAGAGTCACATTTGGGGGAAATTTCAGCGGGGACTCATCCCACCCCACTAAAATCCGATTTTAGCAACTGTTGTATTTGACTGCAGTAACATTAACGGATTTGTGTATATCCTGGAAATTATTTGCTGTCATGGAAAGCAAGAAAGCACAGGAACTGGAGGGGACGCTAGAGGTCAAGTCACATGGCTTGGTTGCTGGCTTTCCCAGCAGCTTGTTTATGGAGCAGACTTCCTTGTTGCAGTCCTAGAATGGTGAGAGTTCAGCCTGACTCAGAGTGGGCGCAAGATGCTTTAAGATAGCGCAGCCCAAACTTGGGAAAGGTCAGCGGAGTGACCAGTCAACACATTTATCTGAGTGGTGGAGCAAGACCAGCAACGACCACTAGCCGCCCCCGAGGTGATTATGTCACCGAATGCCAGGCTCTTCCTGAAAGGGACAAAGGCACAGTCCTATGGAGGTGGCAAGGATCCTTTCTGCGTGCAGCCGCAGCTTGATTGTCTTAGATTGTAGGCACCATAAAGAATCAGAGTGAAGAGCAATCACTGATTTAAATTGAGGTACAGCTGTGTCCTTATTTCATTTCGAAGAGTAATGAAGCAGAAATGCGGTAGAGGCTCTCACGCGGGCGCAGCTTGGGAGCCGAACTGTGCGGGGTCTGTGGAAATCCAGATGGGTCCGCATTCCCAGTAGGGCTCCCCAGCATTCCCTGCGCCTCCTGCGGGGCTCCCCAAGGCTGTCTCAGTTTCGGGGCCAGGGACCCAGGCCTCCTGGATGTTTGTTTCCTGTTGGTTTTCCTTGATTTTATCATTTTGGATCTCACTTTTCTTCCTCAGTTGATTATGTTAAGTGAAACTCACATCACAGGCTATCAGAGAGGCAGTAGGTGGAGACAGGAGACAGCAAACAGCCTTCTTCTATACTTACTTTCTTAGACAAGATTGCAAAGCGGAAAACTTAAAATTGTAGGCTGTCTAGTTTAAAACCTGAAGGAGAATCTGTTTGAAAAACAATGTTTGCAAATAGATCTTAAGATGAAAACCAACATTGAACTTAATTCTAAGTTAATTGTTACCTGCTGAATCCTGGGGCAGAGCATGCGTCTGCAAACAAGAGGTGGGCAAAAGTATGACAGAGGAAGACATTTTCGGAAGTAGAATGGCATAAGGAGAAGTGGAAACGCAAGAAGGAGAGAGGGAGCCGAAGCTCTCTGGCCAGACAGCGCGGGCGTGCAGCGCGATGCCCGAAATTGTCTTTTAAACCAGGCAGGAAAAGAACAATATGATTTCATATTATAAATGTTCTAATTGATATTTTCCTTGAGTTACATCAAACAACTTATGAGATCTTTTTCAGGAAAACTAAACGCGTATCTTAAGACAATAGCAGTGGGATGATTAGGAGGATAAAAATTTATTAATTCACTTAAAATAGTCTCAGTTGTTGGCCAGCCCCCAGCACAAGAACCTCTTTTAATTGAAAAATGTCATAATTTTTTTTCACTAAGCCATGTGCAGAGTATATTCCTAACGAGTGTTGGCATGTTTCTAGAAGTTCTGGATAAAAATAATGTATGATACTTGCAGTTTATATTTTTGCTGATGTAAGATATAAAGGTAGGTAGTGATAGGCGTCCTGATCGTTTTCTCTAGGTTTTAGTAAGGATAGAAAATGAACTGGAGAATAACTGCATTCATTCTGTTTTTTCTTATCAGTGAAGTCTAGTAATGAACCACCTGGAAAAAATAGGTTTGATTAGTTGTACAATGATATGATTTAAAAAAAAAAAAAAAACTCTAAAAACCCCACATGTAATTTCTAAAGAACCCATTCCAGCATCTCAATTACCCACCTGCTCTCATTATTTGGAATATTTAATCAGCTATGATTGCTTATGATAAATACCTTGGAAGTATTGATGCTGTTGAAAGCCTTCAGTTGAAGCTAGTTTTCTGCCAACGTCTTAAATTATTTTAATATATTTCCTTGAAAAGAAAAAAATAAGGCAATGTGGCAAAAAATCATTTGGAATTTTTCTGAAATATTTTTGTTGGAGGTTTCCAGGGAATATGTAAAATATCTACTAACTCAGCCAGAGGGGAGAAAATGACGTGGGCAACTAACCAATTCTGGTACCTTTCAGATAGGGAGGAACTGGGTCCCCCTCTCCCTGGGCATGAAATGCACTCAGGAGGAAGTAGACCTCAACTTGCTGCGATACGTGCATACGGGGGCTGTGGATTCCCAGAGTCGGGATAGCTTCACCTTCTACCTCTGGGACGGTGACAACAGATCACCCGCATTGGATTGTAATATTATCATCAAGGACACGGGAAAAGGTAAAGCACAACTGTGGTGCCTACAGAGATTGGCTTGTGTAACAAAATGATCTGCTCTAAGTATTCAACATTTGTTTCTTTCTCCTGCTGTCCCTGCCTCTTTTCTTTTTTCCTTTCATGCTTCACCCTGAAATTCTACCACTTATGAGTCCACCATTTGGCCTTCTCACCTGCTTCTTAGGGACACAGAGATCGAAAGAGCAGCCTCATGCATCTCCTGTTGGCTATCCGGTCTTGCCCACAGGGTGCCAACGCAGGCTACGTTCATGGTGAGGGGTTTGATCTAAGTAGAATTTTGCTAAGTTAATGCTATAAGTCTAATTTTATCTTCCATAAGTGAATTATCATTTGAAATAGTTTCCAAGGCAAAATATTTTCAATCTTATATGAAGAGAAGTAGATAAATGTATTTTAAATTTAAAAAAAATAACAAAAGGGGACTTTGTCATTGAAAAATTAGGAGCTGTCATTTTTTTTTTTTTCACTTTGAAAGTGCTAGTACAAACACTGTAGGAACAAGGAAAAACACATAAAATAGTAAGTTTCTCTTGAATTAATTAAGCAGATCATTTGCATAATATAAGCCAACAGCTTATAAGTGGTAGGTAGAAGAAAGTTTAAAAAAAAAAATCTCAGCTAGGGAGATGCACACATATTGATGCTCACGTGTACAACCTGAAGGGTTGCTCACTGGGTGGGAGAGAGCCAGCCTCGCATCTTATTCATCTGCATGGTCCCAATATCTCAGCATTCCAGGTGAAGTCTTGCCTTAGACTTTCAGCACCCACTTCCTTGATTGAATGCTCCCTTGTTTTGCCTCATCCACTAGGAAGCTCAAAGAGTAGATGTCTGTCCTAATGTTATTTGTGTCACTTGTATACATTTTGCCTGGAAATACATGTAAGTGAGCATAATTTTTTCAGAGAGAAAAAAAATGTGTTTAGAAATATCTAGCTCATCTGAAAGTTACTAATTGGACTTTTTTATATAGTTGGTACAGGGTCTCACTATGCAGCTCAGACTTATAGTGATCCTCCTGTTTCAACCTCAATTCTTACCAACCGCACACAACGAAGTGTCGTGGCAGTGGAATCGAGCTGTGTTTCATACAGTGGTCTGGGGGACTGTCCCTGTCTAGATGTTCCCTCATCTTGAGAAGTGTTAGAATCACATGAGTTGGCTGGAGGAAAGTTTCACAGGGTAGGTCTCATCCATGGAGCCTGAATGCCATGTGCCTCTCAGAGTGTACCCTGGTGCCTGAATCAGAAAATGGGCAGCAAAAACTGTAGCAGTGCACCAGAAGGAAGGACTGGAGTAAGAAAGCCGGACAGACCCTCACCAGAGACTACACAGTTGGCCTCGTTATTTTCTGAAAGTTTTAATGAAAAAACTATGCTAAGTAGGTGGATTAATTTTAATGTTTTTAGAAGTTCAGTATCTCAAACTTCTTTCCTTCCTTCCTTCCTTCCTTCCTTCCTTCCTTCCTTCCTTCCTTCCTTCCTTCTTTCTTTCTTTCTTTTCTTCCTTCCTAATCCTTTTATCATTGTACAGTGTTGGATGCTACTTTCCTGTTGTTTTTTTTTTTTTTTAAAGTAAGAGTTTTCCTAAGTTGCATGAGTGTACAATCATGTAACTGTAATTGTTCATCTCCAAGTAAAGGTAAGTTGTGAGTTAGATTTAGTTGTAAAGTTAATACTGAGCCTCTGCGTATCTCCATCTGGGAGCTATTAGAAATACCTTTAAGTCTTCCAGTTGTGCTGTGAGTTGTGCTTGGGCCAGGCCCAAAATGCCATCTTGAGAGACTTGCAGGAGGGCCTGGTGAGGCTGCCTTTAGCCCGCCCCTCATCCTGACGCTGCTGGGAAGCTGCAGCAAGTTGATAACCAACTTCTTCTTCAGCGCGACAACACTTGGCCTCCCGCACACCCAGCGGTCTGCTCCCGGGAAAGCTCTGGCAGGGGCTTCTTCCCTCTCAGCCTTGTTCACTTGGATTATTTCCTCCATGTATTCATCTCGGTCTCCTCTGTATATCTGCAGCTCAGCTTTTTTAAATGGAGGATGGTCTTTGACTCATTTGAGATAAAAGACCAATTTGGGACAAAATTTTGAGATGAAAGACAAATCTAAGAACAGGGTTCGCTAATCTTGGCACTGCTGATGTTTTGGAGAGAATCATTCATCCTTGTAGGGACTTCCTTGTGTGTGGCAGGGTAGTTAATTATTACTGCCCATGGCCTCTACCCACTAGAGGCCAATCACAGCCCTCTATTATGACATATATGCAGATTGGGAGAGGAAGTGGCAAAACTAGCCCTTGTTGAGAAATGCTGGTCTGAAATCATAACACCTTGATGTTTTATTTCCATTTTCTGTTTTCTCACAAAGCCGAGTAGAGTCTTCAGTCTTACTGGCCCTCCGTAGTGTTTAATCTAGCTGGGCATTTACTTCTCATATTTTTCTTCTTGGTTATCCAGCCATTTGTTACTGATTTATTTTATTTTTTATTTTTGGGGAGTACTGGGAATCGAACTTAGGACCTCAGGTTTGCTAGGCAGGCACTGTGCCACTGAGCTAAATACCCAGCCCTTGATACTACTTTATAAGAGCTACTCATCTATCAGAGAGAGGGAAAAACCAATGTACTGTAGCGTTTCACAGCCTGAGTTCTCAGTGGCTTATCTACGAATTCTAACTCTGCTTTTTATTGTGTAACTGTTAGCAGATCAGTCAGCATTTTTATATCTGAACTTCCTCATTTATAATCTGGGAAATATAATGCCCTGCCGCTCAGGATTGGGCTGAACAGTTAAGAACCTTTGGTGCTGCTCCTGATAGACACAAAACTGAAACTCTACATTTTAATCTATTTCATTCATTCATTCATTCAATTCATTCATTCATTCATTTGGTACAGGGTCTCACTACCCAGCTCAAGCTAGTAGTGATCCTTCTGCCTTGGCCTCCTCAGTGCTGGGATTACAGGCATGGACCACCACTCCCAGTTTCAGCAGCCAGCACCGTGTGCCCAGGGTTCCAGGGCAGCATGGCATGTGGCACCAGGGATCAAACCCAGGTCCAGGCGCTTAGTCCGCTGAGCTATCACCCCAGGCCAAAACTCTACACTTTAGATAAGGTCATTTTAAACAGATCTTGGGTAAATGAACTTGATTACACACTTTGTTTGGAACACTGCATGTTTGGCCCACACATGACCCATTTCTGTCCGTGCTTGTTTATCCATTTATGTATTTTCTTTAAAATTATGGCATGGCAAAATCTGCACACTATGGAATGGACTGTCTTGGTGTCTCTTGGTGCAGTTGGGCAGTGTGAATTACATGCAGATGGTGGTACATACGACCTCCACAGGGTTGCATTTTGCAAAATTAATCCTTTGTACCTGCTGGATAATAATTCCACATTTTCCTTTACCTCAGCCCCTGCTAACTGTCTTTGCTTTCTGTCTCTGTGAATGGACCCCACCCTAGATGCCCCATATAGGTGGCACCTTTCAGTGTATGACTTTTCATGACCGATTAATTCATTTTGCATGATATCCGCAAGGCTCACCTATGCTGTGGCATGCACGAGAATCTCCTCCCTGTTTTATGCCTAAGTAGCGCTCCATTGTCTGTGCCCACCATGTTCTGCTTCTCCATTCATCAGTGGAGCTGCCTCTCCCTTCTGGCACTGTCGATAACCCTGCTGTGTGCAAGGTTGTTGGACATACTCTGCTCTTTAAAACCTAGGATGAATCCCTGTGCAACCGCTACCCAACAGGGCTTAAATTTTAACAGCAACTGGCCTCTCCTAGGTGCCTTTCCCAGCCTCCTGGCCAACCACCATCTGAATCTGGTACTATCTTCTAATTTTTGTGTGTTACTTTCTTGACTTACACAGCTAACAAATACTCATGCACTACAACTGTATTTCTGTGTGTAGCTGTATTTCATTTGTTTTGCTACAAAAATTAGCTGCATGATTCTGGCCCAGTTTGCTCACCTATTCACCTTTTGGCAGGCACTTGGGCTTGTGTGGTCTGACATAAACAGTGTTGCTGGCACCATAGTTGTATGTGTCCCTGGGGCTCAAATGCGAGAGGCTTGTGAGGCTCCCTGAGGGGAAGAATCACCAAATCAAATGTGAATACTCAACTCTTTGCAAAATAATGCCAAGTTGTGTCACTTGATTGTTCCTCCATAGTTGTGTACAAGATCGCCTTGACCTCCATCCTGTTTAACATGTGATATGGTCAGACTGTATTTTTACTCACCAAAGAATTATGAGATGACAATGTGTTACGATCCTGTACAGTCTTTTCATAATTATTAATGATACTGAACATCGTTGTATGTCCTCATGGGCCACACGTGCTCCCTCTTCTGTGACACACCCACTCCCTTTGTTTGCTTTGTCCTTTGTCAGCCAAGGCTTTATAAGCCTGTTTGTGTCACATTGGACTTGACTTTGGTGGAGTTCAGACCTTATCTTTTGCCTCTACCTTGAACATCACATATTCTAAAATATGATTCTTGACTATACCATTGCACAGGTGATATTGTCCTTCTTGCAAAGCCACTTGTGGTGTCTAGAGGCGACAGAGGCATCTTGACAACTGCCACTCTCTTGGCCATGGATGGAACCAACAGGCAGGAGGAGCTGCTCTATGTGGTCACCTCCCCCCCACGGTATGGCCAGGTGGAATACACCCACCGTCCTGGGGTTCCCATTACGACCTTCAGCCAAATGGACATAGCGGGACAGGTGGTCTGCTATGCACACCAGCGTGAGGCAGCTGCCCCCAGCGACAGCTTCAGGTGAGCCCTGTGCAAACTTCTCTGACTTGTTTCCCTGGAATAACGCTTAGAACAACATAAATGTGCTAACGGGGTCCATTGTTACCATCTCACCATTTTTGACACCCATGCTATCATGTTGTACACCTTAAGAGGACATATCAAAATTTACTTTAAAAATAAAAGAAAAGGGGCTGGAGAGATGGCTCAGTGGTCTAAGGCACCTACTTAGAACAAGCTTGGCAAAGCATCAGGGACCGCGGTTCAATCCCCCAGCACCACATGCCAGCCAGCCCTGTCCCCTGGTGGGCTGAGCTGGCCACACACACACACTACTCTCTCTCTCTCTCTCTCTCTCTCTCTCTCTCTCTCTCTCTCTCTCATAAATAAAAATAAAAAAAAATTTTAAAAATAAAAGAAAAGAGGACAACATGAGTCCTTTTCCAGCTCTGCTCTGTTTTTCTTATCCTGCCTAGGGGCATGAGAGGGAAAGGCATACTTTTAAAATGACAGCAGTACAGCAAGGATTTAGGGACTGGTGTTGAAAAATAAATGCAATACACAGATATAAATGCAAGCTCTTCCATGAGGAGGAGTATGGAAACTGGGGTGCCCAATGAGGGACAGACACAGAGAGGAATTTCCCTCTTTATCGGGTCTGTTTTTCTGAGTAAAAGCCATTCATTAGCATAATAACTTTGGTTTAAGCAGACACTACCTTTTGACACAAAGTGCTCCTGTCACTCTGTCATAAATCATGCTGTCACAGAGTGGGTCATATTTCCCCCTAGAAACAACAATATAATTGAAGCCCATGCACCTGTTCAAGGGTTCTGTATCAAATAAATCATCAGGACAAAAAACAATCTGGAGAAAAGGCAAAGATACAATATTAACAAAAAGCTGTATTCACTTGAAATATAGAAATTTACTGCAAGTCACACCACAACAGGAGATACTCTAGAAGATCTGTTATCTAGCAGCCCACGAAGCTGGTCAGGCTTGAGGTCCCTTATGGAAAGGCAGACCCTGAGATTAGGGGAAGCCTGAAAAGTGTGGACCAGCCCTTGGGGAGCTGTGGTCTGTGAACCAACCCTTAATTTTACCAGCTAGGAAGGAGGCTCAGGGCATCCATTTGTCTGTTGGACACCCAGAGCTGCCTGGCCTCCAGGACAATTTTCACCACAGCCGATATTACTTTCAGTGGACACTATAAAATAGCACACATGTCACAAACTCCTATATTTAGTGGATTTCCAAAAACTATCAAGTACTACCAATATATCCAGGGTCAAACACCGTTTTCTGTTGTGCACGGTGGTACCATGGTTCATGAACTTAATGTGCGCTATGATTCTGAAAAAGATGACTGTGTTTGTGTTCGACAGGAAAGAAGGCTGTAGTTGCGTTTGTCAGCCAATGCAGAATTCACAAACCAAGCCAAAATTTTGCCAAATGCTTCTGTTTGTGAACCAAATTGCTCAAACCAGCCCCCTTTTGAAATTTTTTATTTTGTGCTGGGGTCTCACTTAGTTGCCCAAGATGGGTTTGTATTTGTGATCCTCCTGTGTCAGCTTGGATTACAGATATATGCCACCACTTCCAGCTTAATGTCATCTCTCTCTGTCTCTGTCTCTGTCTCTGTCTCTGTGTCTGTGTCTGTCTCTGTGTCTGTCTCTCTGTCTCTACCCCCCTCCTTCTCTCTGTCCTTTAACACACAGATCACCATTTAGCTGATTGCTATCTTAACCGAGTCACCACCTGAATGCTGATAGGCACTAACTAAGGCGTTGAGGTGGGGTGTGCACCCTCTTCGGGCTGCCTCCCGTGTGCGGGAAGTGTGTGGTGTAGTTGCTAAGGTACGGGCTCAGGGCCATGTGCTGCCTCTGTGACTCCCAGGTCTTGCTGCTGCTGCTGGTCACATTGCCTCCTGTGATTTTGCCCCTTCTATGGAATGGGATGATGCTCATCCTGCTGCCAAGCAGGCGTTGCGAGGTTGCAATAAACACCTTTATGTACAGTCCATGAAACATTACCTGGCACAGACACAGAGCCAAGTGTTTGCTGCTGTGCTTGTCATTCTTGTGCATGTCATATTCCTCCCTGACTGCCTTCTGACCACCCACCTTCACAATTCCAAGCGCAGTCTTGAAGGAGGAAATGAGTTACGGAGAGAACAAGGCTTGCTGTGCTTCTCCTGCTTGCCGAGGAGGTGGCACACTTTGTGGCTTCACCATGTCGGTCTGATCCAGAGCTTTTAAGCCCTGCTGGTTTCGGAAACTCTTTGCCTCTCCCTGTTCCTGCTGCTCTCGACCAGGCCGAGGGAGGGTCTGCTGAAGACGCTGAGGACTATGCTGGAGAAGCCAGGAACCCTACTGGAAGAGCCCGGGATGAGAGCGTGCTCATGTTCAGAAATGTCGGCTAGGAACTAAGCAGATGGTGAGATGAACAATAAAATCCCTATCTGCAAGGGCTGGTGATGCTGTAAACTTCTGTAATTTTCATCTAGAAGAAGTCATGGGAGGGAATATTTTAGAAATTACTTATCCCAACATTTCAAGATCCTCAGAATTACCTGGGAAGATTATAAAATGAACTCTGGGACTTCACACTAGAGAGGGGACTTTGGCAAACCCAGTCTCAGGCCTAGGAATCTACATTTGCAAAGCTTTTCAGGCACTTCTGCTGCGATTGCTGGGCTGACCAAGTCACTCGTGTAGAATGTGTCATATGAAGGCTTGAGAATCCCCGGAAGGCTTGTGGGCCTTTCCAGAGACAAAGGGGGAGGAGGCTGCCTTGGTGGCTCCGGGGTCCTCACATCCATTCACTGACTGAACTTGGTGTTGTGATGCTTTGTTTGTTAGTTCATTTTGCCCACCAGATTTCCCAGAAAGGTTTTCTTTTAACAAAGTCTGTGGCTGCATTTCCTAAAGCTGGTGATTTGAACCTGGGTGGTGCAAAGACACAAAATAATGTGGACAGGTAGCAGCAGGCGATGAGTCAGTAAGAGGGAATCAAGGGTGAGAAACTACATTACCTGTGAAGGGCCCCCTCGCAGTTCTTTCAAGGAGAAAGCCTCAGACTGGTGTGTTTATGTATTTGCCAGAACTCCATACTTATTTTCCATGTATTAACAGAGACAGCACTGGTCTCAGGCTTGGAACCAGTGGGCAACCATATCTAGCTAGAAGTAGCAACACTGTTTTCTTATATTTATTTTTGTAGCATTGGTGGAATTAAGTTCTTAGTAGTCAGGAGGGCTTCCTTTGAATACATTTATTTAAGTAAAAATTAATTGATATGAAGCAAAATTAGCAAATGACAAGAGAATAGGTAGTCTAGGCGTATGGTAGATAGGATGGTCATTGTTGAATGACTTTAGGTCAGGAAACAGGGCTGCAAGAGAAACAGACACAGGCTGAGGAGCACTAATTGGTCCAGGCCCTTCATTTGTGTGCCAGAAAGCTAGCATGGCTTGGACATCTGCAGTACGTCAGGCCATGGAACAGACCCCTGTTCTGGACTGTGTCATCTCTCCCAAGTCTTCCGCCAATGCCTTGAGAGAGATGAGGCTATTACCATTCTGCACGAGAGCACCAGCGCTGCAGGAGGCAGAGGAAGCCCCGTGAGCTGCTGTAATCGAGGGTCAGACCCAAATGGGTGCTGAGAACTCATTTCCATGGAGAACTCTTTCCCTCATCCTGGAGCCTTGTGTGGAGAGCTCACAGAGGTTGTTTGTGCAAGGAAGCGCCTCAGTGCATCATTTTGATCCTTGGCCAGCAGTTTTACATATTTATAGAGAAAGAGCCCAGCATCTGCCCAAGACTGCATTTTAATCTTGTCATTTCCCTCACCCAATCACAGGCTGCTGTGTCATTTGTCAAGTGGTGCTAAACCAAAGCTGAAAGCCTGTTTTAATGAAAGTGTGATTGTGGTGCTTTTTAAAAATTAAATATATGCAGCCAATCTAATCACCTAAATTTATGTTGCTTGCTATTAAATTTGGCAAGAAATTTGGCAGGGTAGAAGATATAAATTCTGTGGCAGTGGATTTTTCTCCCTTCCCTTTTTAGTGTAAGATATGGCAACATTAATTAAATAGGGAATTTTAATGGTCAGATTCTACCTTGTGCGAAAATATTTTGTGAATCATAAATTTCCCCTGCATTGTTTGGTGCTGCTGGCCTGGAAGAGAGCTTTGGCAGCCCGCTCCAGGCCAGATGACACCGAGTGATTAGCAGGCTGACTTCAGCTGCTGGCAGCCGGGTACTAAGAGAACATGCTAATGTCCTCCATTTTGACACGCCGGCTGGACTTTTTTTTTTTTTTTTGAGGAGCTGGCGCTATTTATGATTCCATTTTTATCTTTTAAATGCCATGACAGATGGCAGATTCTTCAGCCAACTCTATTGCCAGGAAATGCAGAAAGCTTGAAAGCACCGCGGTAATGGTGAAATCAGACCAGGCAGGCACTCCAGACAACCCCGAGAATCAGTTCCTGAATTTCATGGGGATGGTGGTCATCCTGGCCACATTCTTCTCTGGGGGTTGAGGAAGGGACATTAAACGGGATGGCCACACAGAAGGCACCATTAACTCCACATTCCCAGCTTCCTCACCGCAGGGTGGATACCAGCACAGCAATGGCACTATTACTGTAAACCTTGAGAATACGTATTTATAGGAATTTGGTGGGGCTTGTTATTTGGAAGATCATCTAGTCGACTTCTGCAGACGCGAGCAGCACTGCTCTTCTTTCACTTGCTCTGCTGGCTCTCCTCTGCCCGGGGACCTAACTGTGAGCCTGTCTCTGTCTCTCTCCCCCTCAGTGGCCCTGCCCATGAGTGGTGTTCGTTGTTCCTCAGGAGGCAAAGTGGCGTGATGTGTCTGATCCAGTCATATTTGGAAATTGCATCTTCTCCACCCCTGGCTTATTAGCTGTAGGTCGGTGCCGACAGCTGCCTTGGGGTCCCAGCTGGGAGCACTTCTCTCAGTAAACATCTTTCTCACTCTCCCCTGGCCCTGGCCTGCTTGCCCCTGCTCCCATCTGTCTGATGGCAGGCTGCCTATTTCCAGCATGGTCAGGTCCCAATCATCAGGCAGGAATGAATTTGAGATATGCAGCCTGGAGCAGCAGACAGTGTCAGCGGCCTCACAGAGGTCTCTGTCTCTCTCTCTCCCTGTCTCTCTCTCTCTCTCTCTCTCACACACACACACACACACACACAAATGCGTGCACATACACAAATACATGCACAGCAAATGTGATGTTCCTGAGACTGAGCCATTAGGATCTTGTCCTCGAAGTCATTTCTAGAATGGACTCTCCAGAGAAGAAAGTCTGATGTTCAAAACAGAACGCGGTGTGGAGCCCGACATGCCCTTGGATTCACGTGGAACCCGGTTCCCTCTCGATCCTCATCTCTCCCTTTCTTTGCTGTGTTTTTCTCTTCACTTTTTGCTGACTTTTGGTAGACTTTTTTTTTTTTTGGTAGACTTTGAATGGGGTGCAGTCTTTCACTCTGCGGTAACTAACAATTCATGTTCTTTCCTGTACACTGGTGCAGAATGATCAATGCCTGATTTAAAACTCTTTAAGTGCACATTTTTATAGGCAATTTGGCCTAGGGTCAAATAATAGGATCTAGAGGAAGGGGAAAAGATGAAAAATGTGAAAAAATATGAGAATAGGAAAAAACAGAATTACAGTATGGTTCTACAATAGGGTTTTTCTGAGAAATACAATAATTTTCAATGTAAGAGCTCATCTCTCTCAACCTTTGAAAGTGTGAATCTTACTGCAGCAAAAAGTTTGGAGAACATACACTTGTTGTGCTAGGTGTGCTTTTTTTTTTTTTTTTTAAATAAAAAAAAGCTAATTTCATTAATACCACATGCTCCTGAAGTGAAACTGCCCAATTTTATATTAATCACAAGTTTTTCTTTATAAAAAGAAAATGGATTCATTTGTTTGAGGAAACTGCTATTTTTGTCTTAATCTACAATTGTTATTCAAGCTATACAAATGTGCTGGAGAGGGAAAAAAAAGATAAAAGACAGTGTACATTCTTTATAAGTCTGGGTGTGTTTTTGTTATGTTTCCCTCAGCAATTTGAACTTTGCTGGGGGACATAGATTCCTTATTCTGTCACATCATATTTTCCTTCAAGGTAGTCTTTGTAACTAGGTGATTAGAAAGTTTATAACTTCAGATTAGCTTTCCAAGAAAAATCTGTACCCTATCACCTCATCTCCCTTTAGGATTTGCCTAATTGTTCTTCTCCCCTACTCTTCCCTTACGCAGGTTCCATGACTGGCTGTGCTCCCTGATTTTAAGTCCTGTCATGGTAAAAGGTAAACCATCAATGCTTAAACCCTGAAAGATAAGACACAGTTTGTCCAAGAGTAAAGAATTTGTTAGGCAAATTTTCTGGATTAACAAAATAAATATACTCTACGCCTTCTGTAGTTAACAGGTAGAACCCCCAAAGAAGAATTTTAAATCATTTAATATTATATTCACCAAAACATGATTTCTAGAAATTCTTACATTTATGGAACGTAAGTGTATCCTTCAAGGTAAATAAGGACCAAAATGTAAAATAGATATTGAGAAATGGGAAGAAAATGTCCAAGTAAGAAGGGGAACAAAGGAAGGGAGAAGGAGAAAGAAAGAACAGAAGGAAAGTCAGATAAAAATCTTTTGTAAATAAGGAAGGCAAGAGGGGTTGAAGGAGGGGAGGGCACTAAGGTACAAAGAAGCATCCAGATGCATCATGCACCGGTACAAATTTCCTGTATTGAATGTTATCTTTAGGTATATCTAAAGGGTACTAATAAAATTAATTTTGTTTTTGTGGTACTGGGGATTGAACTCAGGACCTTGAGCTTGCTAGGCCAGTGCTTATTCTACTGAGCTCTCTCCTCAGCCCAAAATTAATTTTTAAAAATGAATCTTTCCTAAATATTTCTAGCAACTATGAATACAGAGAAAAACTAATAAGACACAGCCCTGTGATTAACTCTAAGTACAAGACATTTCTTTGGTCAGTTGTAAACTTTCTGATCTTACTTGCTAGTAGTGACTTCCTAACTTTTTGGAATTTTAATACTGTGTATTGTATGCATGACTTCACCATGCTCTTGATTGTCTTTAAAATAAACATAATACATTGAAATTGTGTAAAGATCATTTAAGTTAATGCTACTGTGAGAATAGCTGCAGTGGACAGAATGTGATTTAGTAACCAACAAAATCCAAAGCACATGATGCCATGGCAATGCCAAGACTTTAGGAGAATTGGCTTCCCTTGGATGAGTGTCATTTCAGCTCTAGTAAAATGCTTTATCCTTTCACACTGGTGCTCAGCTGCTGTCTCCGTTCTTGGTGGATTTCTCATCAGTGTTTAACCTCTGTAGGGCAGAGGTGAGATGATCTGGCTACCAATCGCAGCTCCATCTCCTTCCTGCCTTGGACTCCCCGCCAAGTGTCCTGACCTTCCTTTATTGTTTGTTTGTTGTCTCTTTGAGACAGTTTCCCTATACAGTTCAGGCTGGCCTTGAGCTCACTTTGTAGCCCAGACTGGCCTTGAACTCGTGTGATCCTCCTGCCTCAGCCTCCTGAGTGCTGGGGTTACAGGTGTGCACCACCATGCCCAGCCTAACCTTTCTTTAAAGCAGGAAAAGTATCCTTGTCGAGCATAACTCCTACATGTACAAAAGGAAGCAGTGTAGAAGCACATTTGTGTAAACTGGAAGGCATTAGAGCCTCACGTAATGTCACAGAGTTGGATGACACTCAGAGGTCATCTGGTGCATCTCTTCCATTCTCCAGGAGAGTAAAGATGAGGAATTAGATAAGGTCACAGGGCTGGATGTGATCCGCCCTTAAGCGTTATCGTGGAAACCTGAGTGCAATGACTTAAACTCAGTCCACTCGGCACTTCATTTTGTTGGTTCTGTAACCATAAGTCTTAAAAGTTTAGCTTATTATTCTCATGAAAAAAATAGGATTGCAGTCAGTCATCACTGAACAAGCCTGCAATGTCAGCACTCTGAAAAGCTGAGGTGGGAGTCACAAGTTCGAGTCCAGACTGCGTAACTCAGTGCAACCCATTCTCAAAAAACTAGACAAAATACAAAATCATACAAAATTACATACAAATATACAAAATTAATATACTTTTCAGCATCAGGTGCAGATTCCAACTGGATACGAAATTTCTATTTGGGGAAAGGGATATATCAAAGGACAATGGCCTATCTGCTCCAGTCTAGTGGCTTTCCAGCAGTACTGCTGAGCAAATGCCCATGGGCCTGGATGGGCAGCACATGTTAGCTGGTGGCTGCTGCCGTGATAGGAAGGCTTTCTTGGAAACCTCTGCTACTGACTGAGTCACAACCCCGCCTGTCCTTTAATAAAGGTGTACGTTGTTATTGCTTCATTCCAGTAGCTGGTGACACAAAAACCCATGCTGAAGGCTCCTTGCTTCTGTTTGCCAGATTCCTCGTCAGCAATGGCTTGTGGACCAAGCATGGGCTGCTGGAGATCACACTGAAGGCCGTGGACAGAGCTCTGCCAGTGGTGACTCGGAGCCAAGGGCTGAGGCTGGCCAGCGGGGCTGTGGGCCAACTTTCCCCGGACCTCCTCCAACTGGTCGACCCTGACACACCTGCCGAGAAGCTGACCTTCCTCCTGGCTCGGCTCCCGCAGCACGGCCAGCTCTACCTCCGGGGGACCGTGCTGCTTGGACGTAATTTCACCCAGTGGGACGTGGACAATGGGAACGTGGCCTATCAGCACTCAGGACATGACTCACAGAGTGACTGTTTTACCTTTGTGGCCACAGATAGGATAAACAAAGGCTTCATCATGGATGGGAGAGTCAGGGAGGACCCTGTTCCATTCACCATTCAGGCAAGTATTGCCGAGAGGTGAGGAGAAATTCTGCCTTCCCTCTTGGTTCCAATATGGTGTGTACATCCACATCAACATGCCTGAGAGGACATCGTTTCCATGTATAGGCTGGTGACAAAGCTTCAAATTGGTGATGGTAGCCACATGTGTAATTGCTACACTCTAGGAGAGTGAGGCAGAAGGATCACAAGTTTGGACCCAGCCTGGGCAATTTAGTGACTTAGATTCAGAAAGAGGGGCTGAGGCCTAGCTCGGCTCTCCGTGATTCAAGGCCCAGGACCGGTGCAGGCTTAAGGTTGGGAGGGTGAGGAGCGAGGGATGGGAGGGTGGCTGAGGCAGTGCAGGAGGAGCAGAGCCGCAGGCCTTGGAGGCAGGGAGGCCTGGACCTGCATTGCCGCTTTGCCTTCTTAGCTATGCCACCTGAAAAGGGCTCTCTACCTTCTCTGAATCTATGTTTTCTTCCTTGAAAAACACCCCTGTAGTGTTGTGGTGGGAATTAAACAAGATCAAGTGTTGAAAGCATTCACATGCTGCCTGAAGCATGTTTGACGATCAGTTGCAAGACATTAGTGGTATGTTGCTAGGCTGATCCTTACCAGTCCATGTCAGCTACTGGAATTTTAACTAAAATGAAAATTTACAAGACAGTATCAACACTCTCCATAGGCTAATGATGAAGATGATAAAAGCAGAGGCTACTTTTTATTGTCAACTGAAGGGTAAATACCTGTTACATAAATCTTATTTGAGTCTCATAAAAATCTTACAAGGAAAATTTTATTACTTATGTTTTATAGATGAAAAATAAGGTTGAGAACTTCAATGATTTGATCAAATAGACACAAAGATCTCACTTCTTTCCAATTTCAAACTCTGTATCCTTCCTATGACATTCTTCTGCCCCATTTGTTGACTCTTGCAATGATTCTGTTGACTTCTTAAAATTTATATTAGGAGTCATTTGCGTAAACACTGATTACGTTCATTGTGGGGAGCTGGTAAGCGCACGGGACACATCTCAGTTCCATTTCTTCCCTTTCCCTTTTAATCCAGCAATGGATTCACTTCTTCATCTTATAAGACCTCATAAAGTTGGCGGGCTCAGGCACAGATTAATAGCCAGATGAAGAGGCAAAAAACCCCATAAGCATATAGGACAATTTTACTAGATCATGGTGCGCTTTTAGGTACATTGTCCATGCTGGGTTAGAATGACTTCCTTCTTCCTCTCGTCTGTCCTTTCTTTGCCACTTTATTTCTATATTGAGTTTCTTCTGCAAGAGAAGCCATCGGCTATTCAAGTTGGTATTTACTTCACTTAGGATGGTGGTCTCTAGGTGCACCCACTGTCCTACAAATGACTCAAGTTCGTCCTTCTTTATGTTTCTTAGAGAACACAAGTTGGTTTCATTCTCTTAGTCAAGACACATCACGTTCTGACCGTCAAGGCCTTATGGCTGCCCCCTCTCGGGTGTAGTTCAACACTATTCTGTACACTTCCACCAACAGCCAGAAGGATATGATTTTGTCTTTTACCTCACAATACTCTCTGAGTAGTAAAATCATCAGTATTTCTCTCTCGCTCTTTGGTTTCTCTTATTAGAGTTCACCAGAGGAACACAGTGTGTGTGTGTATGTGTGTGTGTGCGCGCACGCGTGCGTGCACAGAGGTCTGATAAATACACTGTGCATATATCTGTACCTTTGTAATTACAAATAATACACATAAATATAACTTATAAATAATATATTATCTATGCAAAATAGCTATATAGACAGGAAAGACAGAGGTTGATTTTAGGAATTCGTTCATACAATAGTAGGGCGCACTGGCAAGGTAGAAATTTCAGCAGTAGTCTGTGGTCTTCAGAGTCAAGAGCCATTTGACACGAAGTTCCTCCTCTTTGGCGGGAACCTCACCTTTGAAGGCCTGCCGTGGATTGGGTGAGGCTTACTCACACCATGGAAAGCAATCTGCCTTACACAGTCTTTTGAAGAAACCAGAAGTGTCACAAGACTGGAGTAGATGTTAGCATGAGCATGACCAGAGGCACAAGAAGAGACTATAGAACTAAAATTTAGGTATTATTTTATAAGACAAATGACTAAAACACAAGCAAGGTTGTGTTGACCTCAGTAGAGATGGTTTATAAGCACCTATACTGTGCTTGTTTTTAAGGTAAATGTAATATCACATCATAAAAGCAACCATCCTACATTCAGCTATTTATTATCTTTGAGAATTTCTGGCATGCCTTGGAGTACTTCGATTTTCCCTCTTCTTCCATGAACATCTCTCCGATTGACCACCATGGCAGTGGGGCTTCACTCCCTAAATGCCACAGTATTGACTCCCCAGCTGAGACCCAATTTCACAGGTCTGAGCACTGCTGCCTGCGACTTTCAGGAGAGTTGTGGTATTTGTGTTGGTTGCCTTTTTGGTTTATAAAATAATTGTTTATTGGAAAGAATTCATAAGCTATTGAAAAGGACAAAGGATAAAATATTTCAAAATACTTCTTCATGATAACTGGGATGGTGGCTTCCTTCTATTTTTTATCTGGGTAATAATAATTAGATGATATGTACTAATACATATGTATGTCACCTGATTCCACTCTTCATGTATTATGAGCATTTCTCTATGTCTTTATATATTCCTTGCAAATAAGATTTTTAAAGGTTGTGTTGACCTCAGTAGAGATGGTTTATAAATCTCCGGTTGGATCTCTATGTTTGAGGGATTTTTTTTGTTAATTGCTATTATAGATAATATTTTATAAATTATATTCATGCACATTTTTGTGTACACATCTGCTTCTATAAGATATTTTCAGAGAGGAAAATCTTATTAGTTTGCTCCTTTACCAGTAAAACATGAAAATATCTGTTCATATATTTTTCATCATGAATGATGATTTTGTTTTTTAGAAATAACTTTGGTGCTTGCAACAGGAAAAATAATGACTGGTTGTTACAAAATTCCAATTAGAAACAAACAGAGGAGGAGATATTATTTTTCCTGTTTTATATGAATGTTCATATATATATATATAAACATATATATGTTTTGAACTAAAATATCATTATAATTGTCTTTATTTTGGAAGTAGTTTCATTGTTTAGTTGTCCTACTACAAGCTGTTATTTGCTTGCTGTTGCTGCACAGGACTAGGGGTGGGATTCAGGGGCACTGCGCAACTCAGCTACATCCACTTGCCTTTCTATTTTTACTTTTGAGCAAGGATCATCCTAAAATGTGCAGGCTCACCTCAAATCTTCGATCTTTTTTGCCTTGGCCTCCCAAGTGCGGGAGTACAGTCCCGCAGCACCCCACTGCACTCCGTGACCTGTTTAGTACCACCATGGCAATTTCTTACACGAGAGTGCGTCTGAAGCTCCCATGACATAGCTTCTTTGCTAAGGTAAACAAGAACCACAGGGGCACCATCGGGTGGCAGACAAGGCTAAGCAAGAAGGTAATGAGAGTGAGGGGCAGGCTTGAGCACCCTTACTCCTGTATGCTGATGCCAGTGAGGATCCTGCTCAACGCCCCAGGCCCCCTCCCTGCCTGGCCTGCAGGAATCACTCGCACGATAGACTCAGCTCCAGATGGGCAATCAGGCCTGGACGAAGACCTTCGGTCACAGTGCTGAATCTGTTTTTCTCCTCCCTCACGCTTCATGGCCCACCCACCAACCCCACAGATCTAGTCACCTGGTCCTTATCCTCCATAAAACAAATATTTAAAGTCTAACACTTGGGGCTGGGGAGATGGCTCAGTAGAATAAGTGCTTGCCTGGCAAGCACAAGGGCCTGAGTTCAATCCCCAGTTCTGCAAAAAAAAAAAAAGTTTAAAACTAATTACTCACAAGGTTTTCCTGCTGCACATACTCCTATTTTTATTCCACACTTTTCCCATTTAAGCAGGTATGTAGGGAAAAGAAGTCTCGGTATTTGTAAACCCTTTCAATTCTGTTTCTGTAAGTCATTAAATACTGGTGAAGTGGGGCAGTCCTGGGTGCTGACATTAAGTCTGCAGTATACTTCTTGGGTAAGTTTAAATCTATCTTTTTGACACATACTTCTGAGGCATCTCTTAGGTTCAGGGGTTGTTTAAGGTTCAGGTAATTGGGGCACAGTAGGGGGCACGTTATCTGCCCTCAGGAAGCTTACCTCCTGAGATCAGACTTTAGAGCAGTTAAGAGTTGGGGCAGGGTTTCCAAGGGCAAGTTGGCCTCTGCTCCAGGCACCGTGACACCTGCCGGTGATGCTGCGAATAGGACAGTCTTCAGCAAAAGTTAACAGATAAGGACTTCAAGCAATCTGTGACTTGGAGAATTTGCCATTGTTGAGCTGTTAGAGCCTGACCTGGTGCAGGGGTTGGAAGTCTTTGGATAACACTATGTGCAATTATTGATGGCTCAGGTGGACAAGCTGGACAAAATGGCACCCCGAATCACTCTCTTGCATTCCGCTTCCCAAGTGGGGCTCCTCAAAAACGGCTGCTACAGGATTTACATCACTTCCCACGTGCTGAGGGCATCAGACCCTGACACCAAGGATGATGAGATCATCTTCAGGATTTTACGAGGCCCACTCCATGGGCGTTTGCAGAACGCAACGACAGGTACGGCCTTCCTCATCCTCATAATTGTTCACTTTACAGGACCCAGTAGCTGGAAGACTGGAGAGGAATTTAATTACGTGCAGAGCCAGTTGGTAAACACGCGGTGGGGCTTAGCGATAGATGCCATTTATAAATCAATACTGGTTCTGAAGAGGGGCGGAAGCTGAGCCTTCCTGAATTCATCTGGACTGGGAGAACCCAGCACTGACACACAGCTGCTTAGTGTTTGCAGTGCTGTCCACAACCAGACTGTGTTGTATTCAGAAATACACGCAGTACCTGGCTCACGTTCATATCTGTGCCTAATTTATTCTTCCACCAATGAGTTCTAAATGACAGCAGATCTTTAAACATTCGGAGATTTTTTTCCTACTGGTTTCTCTGGGTTAAATATTATTTCTGTTTTATAAAAATGATCATAATATGTTGGCATCTGGGTTAGATAGAATTATAGACTTTTATATCTTCCTACTTCCTTTATTTTTATTTTTGTATTTTTATTTATTTATTTATTTATTTTAATGCATTTACTACAGGGTCTATGGGGTCTCACTACATAGGTCTGACTCGTAGTGATCCTCCTGTTTTCAGCTTCCCAAACTCTGGGATTACGGCGCGCACCACCATGCCCAGGCTGTTTCCATCTCAGCGCGCCCCAGGGGCGGGGCCAGCACGGCTCACCAGGGATCAAACCCCAGCAGCTGCGCTCTGCCTAAGCAGGCAATTTTTGTAGTTTTAAAACAGCTATTTCTGAAGCAGAGTACATTTAAAGCTCTATTTTAGTACATTGCATTTGAGGTTTTTTTAAAGCATTGCATTTTAGAACATCGCACTTGAGTTTCTTCTGATTTTCAGAAATGTTTAATAAAACCAGTATTTATGGGAAAATCAATTAAGAACGAAGAATGAAATAAATCACTGCATGCGCTAGCCTACAGAACCATCCTTCATATCTGCCCCCAAATCAAATTCATTACAACGTTTTGCATTTTTTCTATTCCAAGCCATTTTATCTGTTTGCAATTCACCGGCACGTTTTACAGGTCCGTGGCGCTCCCTCACATCACGGGGGTCTGCGCCGGCACGATCACTCGAGCTGGAGGTTCCGATAGTCACAACCGCCTAGATGTTCTCTGGCTGCTCTTTTTTTTTTTTTTTTCCAGTACTGGGATTGAACTCAGGACCCTGTGCTTGTCAGGCAAGCACTTACTGTACTGAGGTAACTCCCCTGCCCTCTCTGGCTGTTCTTTAAAACCATGTTTCAAGTAAAATAAAACTCTTCAGTAAAAAGCCATATTGTTTTATCAGCTCTCATTTAATGTTTTGTTTGATTATTCTTAAGATTCGCTTATATATATTTTTTTTGTAGGTGAATTTATCTGTGAGAAATTTAGCCAGAAGGACTTAAACAGTAAGACCATTCTGTACATCATAAACCCATCGTTGGAAGTAAATTCAGATGTCGTGGAGTTTCAAATCATGGACCCCGCAGGGAATTCTGCTACTCCTCAAATGTAAATTATTTTGATTATTTAAATGTCCTGCATGTAATGTTTAGCATGTATCTGATTGGGACCTTGAAAGGATCTTTTTTAGACAGAACCCTAAGAAGATAAATTGGTAGACCATTTCCTTGGCTCACAGAGTTTATTTTGGTGAAATAATTCTCTTTGTATTACTGTTTGATAATGGAAACCCCTAGCTTACAGACAGGGAGCATTAAGAGGTTCAGTTGAATGGGGTCGCGCATGAGGTGCATAAAAACGCAGGTGCAGGGGCCGGAGAGATGGCTCAGTGGAATAAGCGCTTCCCTGGCAAGCGCAAGGGCCTGAGTTCAATACCCGGGTCTGGAAAAGGCAAAACAAAACAAAACAAAAAACGCAGGTGCTGTCGCATGCGGAGAGGAGCAATTGGACCGTTGCTGGCTTCCAGACCCGAGCTTGCCTGCTCTACGCACGCTGCAGCCAGGGGTCGCTGTAGGACCGTGTTAGTGACTGTGCTCTCTAGGCTCCCTTCTCAAAGGCTTGCCTAGGAGCAGGAAGAATGACGTAGTTCGGGAGGGCTGGCAAAGCATCAGTTCCCCTTACTAAAGAAATAAATAAAACTGCTTTTATAAGTTAGTAAGTCCATCACAGGTTAGACAAAGATACACTGTGGAGGAAAGCGAGCTTGAGAAGGGACTAAGTGAAATTTGAAAATGTGTAAAATGTGCAAATGTACACTCTTTAGAAAGACTGACACATTCTCAAAATAATCAGGATTAATAGACTACAGTAATTTCACCTACTGGATCTCTATTCTAGAACTTTCTAGACTGTATTCCTTGAAAAATATCTAACCTGGCAGTCACAAAAAGGTCCCTCAGACTACTCTTTGTGCTGTTTTATTTTTGCTTGATACCTTTCCCGGATACCTCAAAGCAAAGACTTTCATCTAGCCGAGGTTTCAAATCATCCTATCCTAGGGTACCTAGGGTACTAATCCTAGTGAGCGCGGCCCTACAGTGGATGGGTCCTTTATATAAAATGTGGACAAGGGTAGGGCAAAAAACGGTGGAAACCTTTCTCAGTCCTCCTCGTCCTTGCTTTTCTTTCCCGTTCCAAATTGTAGTTCCAATATTTACCAGCAGAGGTCTCTATAGTCATGGTTACAGAAAAACAACTTTTTTAAACAAACGCATTGCCACCGTCCTACTCCAAGCGTTCCTGTCCAGCGGCTGCTGTATGCCAGACGCGCAGTCCCGGAGATGGGAAATAGGTGCAGACAAGAAAGACTTGGCCTCCTAAATTAAAATACATTCCTGAGGTTATAAAATTAGCAGTTGACCCCCGCCCATTGAACGACCTTTGCCTGAGAGAAATGATTCCTCAGAATCAGTCTTTAAAGACATGTCAGCTACTTAAAATTTCAGACAAGTGCCTTAATTCTTAAGAATTTTAAATTCTTCTTGAAACTACTAATATATGGTTCAATAATTTTTTACTTGTTTAACTAAGAAAACACAGACTACTTGCATGACCTGATGCTGACCTCTTGTCTTCCACAAACGACAAAACGTAGACACAGGGATGTTTCCCCCAGGAATGGCAGTGACTGATCCTGCCTCACCCACACAGCAGGCTTATTTTATTTTAAAGAAATTTTAAAAAATAAAAATGATACACAATTTCAACACAAGATGATAGGAAATTAACAACGGTTATTATATTTCATATTGTTATCTTCAAGTAGTTGCTCAGATTACCAGATATAGGCATGTAAGACCACTCAAGCAATATAAACACTACCTGTTCCTTTCAATTATGATATATATATATATATATATATATCTTCCTTTTCTCCTTTCCCCTGTCCTAGTTGTTCCTTCCTTTTGAGCAGTTTCTTTCCTTTCTTTTGCAATATTTGCTGTACCTAGATGTTTACAGAGTGTTCATACAACAGTATCAGAATGCACCCTCTTCTCAGCTGCCAATGGTACATTCCCTAAAATAGTCCATAGAACATGCGTAAGTACATGCAAAGGAACCGTGAGGATCTCATGCATGCTACCAGACCATAGTGTAACGAATCTGGAAACAGCACGGCCTTTCATCCCTCGCTTGTGAAGGACACTGCTTTTTTAAGAGGATTAATGTTTTTAAATAAACGCTAAAAGTCACAAGAGAATCCACTTAGCGTAGCTATAACCTTCACTGAGGCAGTTCTCCATAGACACGTGCTTGTGTGGACTATGCATTTTCATGTACCTATGCTGGAGAACTTTCTAAGTCAACTTGGAGTGCTTGGAACCAATGGGACAAAATGCCATGGCATTTTCTATTACCAAGGACTAAAGCAAAATGGCTTTGATGCTGGCATAGTTTGGGTTATTTTTCTTAGAATGGGCTTGGGAGCTAGAAATTACTCAACATTTCTCTCCATAACTTATGGGTTGAGTAGTTGCTTCCAGCTTCATTTGAAAGCAGATGTTTTCTAGAACTGAGTGTACATGGTCTAGTAAGAACCAGTGGTAGCAACGGGAGTGGTTTGACTTCTCAAAGCAGCAAGCAAGAGCCTACTTGTGAGTACAATATGGACCACAGACATTTGCAATGTAAATTTTTGTTCTATTTTGTCCCTGTCATTTAATCACTACTAAGAATTATGAGTCAGATGCCATTGTAATTCACAGTTTACACATGAGGACACTGAGGCACAGAGTAGGAACTGACTGTTCCATGTTCGTGAAGTTAATTGGCCAAGAGCCATACGCCTCCCCAGGAGGTGGAGCTTTTGAGCATGTGGCTTTCCTCACAATGCTATCAGCCTTCTTGCCTGTGCTTAATGATAGCCAAGGCTGCCGAGGAAACAGATCGGCCAGTTTACCATCGTTCTTCTACAGAAGACATTTGCTGCCCGGGAAGCAGGAAAGAAGCGATACTTGCCTTAAGGTTTAGTTGCTTTTTTGTTTTAATGCAGTATCATTATTACTGCGCACGCCGTATCTGATGCCCTCGGTACTAAGTGTAGATAATAAAGCACTTGACTTGGAGCTGACAGGCACGGTGAACTTTTGCTCTGCCATTGGCCAGGCGCTTGGTAAGCCTTGGTTATCTCCTCCTTAAAGTGGGGATAATCTAACAATTCTTTAGGGACAATCTAACCATTCTTTAGAGAAATGAGTGAGGTAAAATATATGAGGGTATCTTCTGTATTCGAAGTCCATAAGGAACACAACTTCTACTGGTGAGTACTACTGTGAATTCATGTTAATGCAATCAACTATTTGAAGAAAGACACGGAGACATTCAGTGGATTAGAAAGCCCATCGCTAATTAGAAATTGATCCTGAGAAAAATTCACAAAGTGAGTGATCAATACGATTATTTATCAAAGAGCTAAACGTGCTGTTCTGCTGTTGCACCCATTCTGAGCAGATCTCCTGAGGGATCAACATATGTTCCATTTTACAAAATGGCAGGAAGTGTTGGTCCAGGTGAGATGAGGCACGCTGTTGCCAACTGGCTCTCTGTGTGCTTACTGAGAGCACCGAGTCCCAGAATCATGGGAGGCTTGTATGCACTGGCAGGCTCTGAATAGGGGCAGTAGAACAGCCCCCACCTCCTCACACCCAGAACAGTGCAGGATGCAAGTTCCTCTGGGATACTTTCGGGAAAACCCTTATTACAAATAGAAATTATCCGGGGGCCTGGTCCTAGTTCAGTTCTTCAAGTGGCTGCTTCCACAAAGTTGTCAGCCTCAGGTTGCTGTGGTTCAATCCCCACAACTCCAGCCAGCCAAGCCTGCCCTGAAGGCATTTGGAGCAACAACAACAACAACAACAAAAAAAATCCTTATTCCAAATAGAAATTATCTTAGAACACCGAAGTCCGTGGATCTTTGCATAAACTTTTAGTTTGGCCAAATGCCTGAAAATCGGGCACTGTGCTAGGTACTTCCCCATGTTGTCTCATTTACCTACAAAGCACAGTTCTGAGCATTTAATAACCATTCCAAAGTCACTGGAAGAGACAGAGCTGAGAGGGAGCCTAGACCTGAGAGAACCGGTCCCGCTGGCTCGCCCCTGCTGTAAGTCATGCCCACGCCCAAGCCGACTCTCCAGGGTGATCACGGAAGTGCTTGGCACAAGCTACCCAGAGGGCAAATCACTCACAGCGTGCAGCACAGAGATCGTGGAGGGCGCGCAGCTCGGACCTAGGCACGTTCCCTGGCACTGCTTTCCTGTGCACGCACTGAGAAGATTTCCAGAGTAAAGTGAACCCGTGCTCATGTGCTCTGTCGTTCAGCAACTGCTTCCCCAAGCCCTGACTCTTGTCCTCTCTCCAGAAGCCCACATCCTAGCTGTTGTGCTAGTCATTTCTAGCCTTGGAAGAAAAGATCTGGGAGGAATAAGAGAGAAAGGGAATTTTATGAGGCAAGGTTTGTAATATTTTAACAGCTTTTGTGAAGCGCCTTGTGGGGGAGAGCTTGGAACTGTTGCTGCAGTACTGCCTGCATGGTACCTTCGAGCCGGAGTTACCATGTTTGTCTCCAGAACAGATCTTGGGGAGGCACAGAGGACGGGAAAGAAAACAGCACTTGCTCAGCGCCTGCTGTGTACACGTGCTGAAGATGCATTAGCCAACTTGAATTCTGATTGTTCGACATGAGTGTAATTCTTCTCGTTTTAAGATAATGAACACTGAGGCCCAGTGAGACTGAGGCACTGACCATATTCACACAGCAATAAGTGGTTGCAGTGTGTGTCTGCTACCAGAGTGGTTGTTTGAGGGACTTGCTCTGCTGTCACTCAGTGAAACACTGTTTCTCAGTTTTGGAGAGAAATTGGGAACATTGCAAACACAGGTGTTCAAAACATTAGACTGTGGAGCTTAATAGCATCATTTTTAATTGACAAGCCTTAGACCAAATATTTGGAAGAATGTATTTTAATGTTTTGATTTGTTCAAGTCATGTGTTGATAATAAATAAAGATCTAGGTATAGGATTAATGATGTAATCACAATTTTATTTA